AAAATAATTACAGTACGCTTCATCAAATATAAAATTAATTAACTCCGTGAAACTCTGAAGGTGATGGTCTTTTATTTTATTTTATTTTTATGGGGGTGATGGTATTTTATTAATTTGCACCGGTATGTTATTTCAACAAGGGCAACGACATGGTGCGAGGGTAGGATTTCAAGTGCCATAACTGAGGCTTGAACTCAATCTTTAAGTAGTCTTGATTGCATGGGTTTGTATTGCTGGACTATTGGGTGACTTTAGGCTGTCCCATGATAATATGTGTAATTATTTAATGAGTTTATATATATACATATATGTTATTTTAGATTATAGGAGACGACTTTCTCCTATAGTATAATTGATTTGAGATAAGAAAGAGTGGATGGAAGAAAAATGATGAATTTTTTAATTAATAATATTATAATATTGATTAAAATTTTATTTTTTAATTGATTAAAAAAACATATCACTTCACTTTCTTTCTCTTAATTTCTCTCTAATTTTTTTTTGGAACATGAAAAATTATGAAAAATGAAAAAATTTTCAAGTCGTTAATGAGAATTGAACATCCAATCAACTAAAACTAAACACTAAAGCTTAATAACAAATCTTTTTAGCCAAACACCAGATTCCTCTTAATTTCACTCTAATTAAATGTAATTTTACTAATTTTTTTTCATATATTATACAACACAAACTTAAAACTTAATGTATTATGAGTCTACTCAAGTCAACCATGAAAATGAATTTATGAAATATTATTACTTTGATATCACTATTGTAAGAGTAAAATTTTAGGAAAATGCTTTAATAAAATAACCAAATAATTTTAATAATGAAATTACAAATTTAACCTTAAAAATCATCTTCCTCTCAATACCCCTTTTTATTCTTGTCTCTCCATCTTCCTCTGCCGAACTCTTCTGCTTCCCCAAAACCAGATCTGTTTCACCCTTTTATTTATTTATTTATTTTTGGGGCTACTTGGCGATGACTGATGATGGTGATGGTGGTGATGGTGATGGTAATGGAAAACAGAGGGATTTATGAGTTCTCAAAGAACCCGATTTGGGTTCTTTAAGAACCCAGACCGAGAGAGAGAGAGAGAAATAAAAAGAGTCTGGAGTTTGGGTTTTCTTGGAGAACCCAAAAGAAAAAAAAATTGGTAAATTTGTAATTTTACTTTCAAAATTATTTGGTTATGTGAAATGTGCACTTCCAAATGTTAAACCGGAGTGTGTATGAATCATGATACAAAATTTTAACACATAAGAAAAGTAATGAATGCACAAATGACTGAGGGTGGATTAATCATTTAACGTGTAAAAGGGCATGTGCTGAATTGTGTCAAAATGTAAATCAATTGTTAATTGAATTTCCAAAAGGGTACTAAAAGGCAACGTAAGCGTGCAACCATTATATATTCTCCATATTTTATCTTATAATATCTCTGGAAATTCAAATAATAAAATATATTACTGTCAGAGAATAGCCAACATGTCGCGATTGTCGCATACTAGTGATTTAAGTATATAGTATTAAATCACAGAAGAGAACAAATGAGAGGATGAGTTTGATATAATAGTTTAAGTAAAAAAATATGAAGTTAATATTTATCAATTAAATTTATTAAAAAAAAAAAGTAAAAGTTTACTTTTAGAATCAATTTATTTTATTGTAATAAAATATCATTAAAAATATTAAAAATATATAAATTTAAAATAAGATTGAAATTGATTTTAATTTTTTTCTACAATGTTATACTAGTAAGAGCCTGTTTGGTGTGACTTGTGAGAGTTTTTACTTTTTGAATACTATTATGAGTAATAAGTTTAAATTTTTGTTTAAAGGAAAATAGAGTTTTAGCTTTTAGAAATATGAAAAAGTAAGTAAAAAGAGAGTTTATAAAAAATTTATATTTGAAACTTTTGAACTTTTATTGTTTAAGAGATTTTTGAACTTAAAAAATGTTTAAAAGTGTAAGTTTTTAAGAGAAAAATTTTAATTCATGAAATATGAATAGTATCCAAAAGCTGAGCTCTTAGGAGCTGAGCAAAACATGCCCTAAATCACTTAATTTTACAATGATTTTCA